CCTCAACCCCCTGAGTTAGCTGGGACTACAGGTGTGCACCACCCTGAGTTAGCTGGGACTACAGGTGTGTACCACCACACCCAGATAATTTTGCTATTTTTCGTAGAGACAGGGTCTCACTCTTGCTCAGGCTGGTCTCTAACTCCTGACCTCAAGTGATCCTCCCTGCCTTGGCCTCACAGAGCACTAGGATTACAGGTGGGAGCCACCCAGCCTATAACAAGACTTTTAAGTTGTACTTACAGCCTTAAGGAACATGAGTCTTTTGAGTTTATACTTTCAATATATTTAACTAAATAAAATCTCATTACTTTGGAGCAGTCCTTTCAGTGCATAAGGTTCCCACAGACATTTAAAAGCTCAAATGACATTAGTAAGCACCCAATAAGTGGTAGTTATAGATGGTCCTTAACTTTGGATGATTGCTTTGAGTTAAGATTTTTCAACTTTGCGATGGTTTGAAATTAATACATGCTCAGTAGAACATCAATAAATTACATGAGATATTCAATACTTTATTATAAAACAAAATAGGCTTTGTGTTAGATGATTTTGCCCAACTGTAGACGAATGTAGGTGTTCTGAGCATGTTGAAGGTAGGTAAGGCTAAGGTATTATGTTCACTAGTTTAGTTGTGTTAAATGCATTTGTGACTTAGGATATTTTAACTTACTATAGGTTTATGAGGATGTATCCCATTGTAAATTGGGGAGCATCTGTATAATTAATACCAGTTCCTGCTTGCACCTTTGTCCCCTTGAATCCTTGGAATAAAACTTGCACAACTCTGTAAGTGTTTCTTGAGGACCTGAGGATCCTGATTAGTTGCAGCTAAGGAATACTCCACAAACAAACAAACAAACAAACAAACACACAAACAACCCCAAAACCAAAAAACAAAACAATACTTTTTTTGAGTCAATAATTTTATTACTATTATTTTTCACACCAAGGAGACTTAGTTACATAAAGTGATATTCTATGAATTGATTATCAGTAGTAGAAGCATAGAGGTGTGGACAGTGAAACATGAAGAAATACCCTTTTATCAGAGTGAAGTCCATGTGACAGAAGTATACACTCCAAACAGCCTATGTATAAATAAATAGAGCTTTCAGTCTATGTACAGACGTATTCACAGAGAATAAACTGACACGGGTATCATCATATATCTTGTCATCCAGTGAAAATTGCTCATAATAAACACAACACACACAAAATGACAAAAATCATTGAGAAGGGCATCCACTGGATTCTTGTAGGGGACAGGGGTTAAAATGCTTCTTTAAAATGGAGGCAAAGAAAGGAAGCATGAGAGCATGTCGCGATCCCCAGGAAGATCCTTTATAAAAATGGCATTCTGATGTTTTTAACGTAACCTGTCCAAAAGATAGTTTACATGTTATTGAGCAAATGTCTATGTTGGAGTCAGTGTAGAAAACATTTTCTCTGTTTAAACCACATGCAAAGAACATAAGTATAATAGAATTTATTTTTCCTTTAGTGCTAGCAGCAACTTCATGTAGCTTTTGCTATTCTTATTTTTAATGGCTCTTTGAGTCTGTGGATTGCTTGAAGATGGAAGCTGTTGCTTCTGGAGTTTTTTCAGATTTGAGGTGAAGAAATATCAAGACTAGGTGCAGGGCACATACATGGACCATGCGTGCAGGGTTCAATAGGGCAAATGCCAAGAGAGCCTTCCTCTTCTGCATGGGGAATATCTGCCTTCTGGAGAGAACTTTGGACCATAAAACAGACTCCATAGAGGAACATCACTGGCTCTGGGGTCAGATACCCTTTCTTTAGGGCAAATTGGCCATTTAAGCATAAAATTGATGGAGTTGCTCTATTTCATACCAGTGTTTATATAGATAATTTAGGAACCCAGTTGTGGTTATTTCTAGGCTATTCAGTGCCTCTTAGCCATTATTTAGCTTTCACTCAAATAATATAAAAAGTTGTGATGAAGTGAAACATTAAAGTTTTTAGTTGTGTGGACATCTGTATGTAACAGTCTAACATACTAGGTCAGAAATTGTGTATTTTAGCAGAGGGGGAGAAAAACCACCAATGCATTAATGAAGTCTGCTGTTCTACATGTCCTCCCAAGCAAGGCTAATAATTTAGGCATAAAAATTATTGATAAATTATTTATCTCTATTTGCCATTTTTATAAGGGAACTTCTTAGATCCATTCTACATTTATATAAAAGCTCAAACACATCCTAAATCTCCCAGGTATATGTTTGCTAATTATCCATTTCACTTTCCACATGGGTGACCCTTGTTTTACATTACAAATGGATTCCTGAAAAATGGTTAGTCTATAATTTTAAGAGGAAATATTTTCAATGTAGTGTCAGAATTTGGTATTTAAAGGAACTGTGTAATAAGCTATTTGGAAAATTAAGAATGCTTTTGTGAAATGAATAATTTTTTTATTTTTAAACAGTTTTTATTAAAGTACACATCTAAAATTTATAAGTAGATTAGGATTGCCTAGAACAATAATTGTAGGTAATAAAAAATAGAACAGATAAACTCCAATTTACAACAAACAATACAAAACAGGAATGACTCATGGACTGCTTATTGATTGACTATATTCAGAAGCCCTGAATATATGTATTGTTGGTATTTTATGGCTTTAATCAGGACCATTGTCTCTTATGAAGTACTATAAAGTGCAATATTAAAAAATTAAAAAAACCCAAAAGGCATTCATTGTCCTTCAGTTTTATCCCAATGAAGAATTGGAGATTTGCTTAATTAAATGGCAAGAAATTACCCTTAATTTATGCATGCCATTTCATCCTTAAAAATGATTTTATTCAGGGATTCAGACTTTTCACTTTTTTTTTTGTTTTTGGTGACATGATTTTAAAAAGTAACGTTTTCTTTTGGTTAGCTGAGTGTTTTAGAGAACTATTAGTCCCTAAGGCCTTAGTTACTTACGGATCCATTATGAAGGAATATGCAACCCATTATGTGAGAATGCAGGAGCAAATTCTCATCCTTTTGGTGGACCCTGGCCCATTTTCCTAGGCCAGGACACCAATTGGCAACTTTAAAAAAGTCCTATCCAATCTATCATACAAAGAAGTAAACACACTGCAGTACTGGTTGATAAATGGAGGTCCAACCACTTCCCCCATTTCCTATTTAAAGTAAAAATACTAATTCCTCTTGGTAAAACAGTGCAGATATACATGGGCCCAGCATTGTGGAATGATCTGAGTGCTTTGTGAAGTGTGGGATTATGACATTGGAAATGGTTTGTGAGCTTGACCTCACCAGGGCCTCCTGATAATGCCACACACCACGCTCATCAATGCCTGTTGGTATTCCTTGTATTTCAGGCCTACTGGTGCTCTTAAGGTATTTCTGTTACTCTACTCTCTTGGTTGTGAATTCTGTCCACATTTTAGTAGTAATTAGGAGGAATTCCCTCCAAGAAGTAGTGGATTACATAAAACACAAATTGTTAGAGGCAGGGGTTTAGCATTTTTGAATATTCACATTAATGAGGAGTTGGAGAAGACTCCTCATTAAACTTGCCAAGTAAACTGGAGAGGGTCGTGGTGAGTACCTTGTAAGGGAATAAGTGCTGGGTCCAACCTGGACGTGAAAATGAAGTGGGATTAGCAATAAACAGAACAAGGCTCAATAAGGCCAAGTGGAGAGTGGCACATAGTCAGCAAGACACCTATGCAAATGCACTGGGGCAAGCTGGGAAACGACCTGGCTTCCTCCAAATGTCTTGGAGGAAAGGTACAATGTGAACTAGCAACGAAGTGAGACTTTTTAAGAGGTAAAAGCAACAGAGGGGTGCATAAAAGTGGGGTGAAACATTAGGTTTGAGGCTGTAATTCAGCACTGTTGAGATATTAATATTACACTTGTGTCATGCTTAGTTATAAGATTCCATCATTTAAGAACAATATAATGCATCTTAAAAGGCTTAGTAGAGAGGAATTATAAAAATTATTAAGAGTGTACATGAAAGAGATCCAGAAATAAAAATATAAAGGTACTTTTGATGAAAATAGGTAAAAGGTCACAGGGGTAAAGAGTTAAGAGTGCCCAGATACAGTTGTTTTCTGCCAATAAGAAAAACAAAGTAGGTTACACCATCAGCTGGAGGGTCTTGGGTTAGTTTGGAGGGAGGGTTTTTGGTGCTGATGGTTGTTAAACATTGATCTGGGTTATACCAGGAACATCTATGCTGGGCTCTCTTTCTTAAAAGGACCCTTGTCCTTTGGATTAGGGTGACAGACTGGACAAACTCTCTTACTGGAATTAAATCTTTGGTGGAAGCCTATGCAAACTCATGGCATTCTTTCAGACTTAGGTGTTTATCTGTTTTTAAACAAATTTTATTAGGTTTTCCAGTCTGTTGATCATTTAGTAAAAGGGCTTTGGCTTAGATAATATGGTGCTCCATACAGACCCTCACTACTCATACACTGATTTGAACATAGATATCTACCCCATCATAATTGCAGAGTCATTTTTATCTCTCAAAAACTGGCTGACTTGTGGATTCCATTGTCCTTTGCGGTTCTCTCTCGCTCTTTTAATTTAATGTAATTTTTTTTGAGACAGAGTCTCGCTCTGTTGCCCTGGGTAGAGTGCAGTTGCATCATGGTAGCTCACAGCAACCTCAAACTCCTGGGCTCAAGCGATCCTTTTGCCTCATCCCTCAAGTAGCTGGGACTATAGGTGTCCACCATGACGCCAGGCTAATTTTTCTATTTTTAGTAGAGATGGGGTCTCATTCTTGATCAGGCTGGTCTCGAACTCCTGGCCTCAAACGATCCTCCTGACGCGCTAGGATCACAGGTGTGAGCCACCTCACCTGGCCGTCTCTTGCTCCTTTTATTTATATTTTTAATTTTTTTAAATTTTAGAATATTATGGGGGTACAAACGTTTTGGTTACATGTATTGCTTTTGTACAGTTTGAGTCAAAGTTATAAGTGTGCCCTTCACCCAAATAGTGTGCATTGTGCCCGTTCGGTGTGAATTTACCCATTCCACTCATCCCCCTCCTACCTGCTTGATTTCCATTGAGTTTCACTAAAGAAAACTGGCCAGATGGAGGACCCTGCAGAGTCCGGGTGGTTCTGAGCAAGGCTGACTCCCCGAGTGTGAGGAAGGCGTGTCTGACGGCAGTGTGCACATTGGTGAAGGGGGGTCTATGTGGAAAACACATTCCTTCCATAGCAAACTTGAGTGTGCCTATGATTTTCACAGACGCCTACATACTCCTGGTGATTACGTACCACAGCCTATGCAGGCTTAAGGCCCCCAATGAAGTGAAAGAAATATTGTGATGGTGTAATAATAAGTAATGGGATTGAACTGGCTATATTTCCTTTATTGCTTCTTGTTTGCTATATATTTAAAAAATATGAAGCTGTGAGGTTCAACAAGAAACACAAAGATGCAGAGGCAGGGAGCTAAACTTAAATACAGACAGCAGAGCAGGGCGTGGTTACCTTTCTTTCCTAAGGCCTTCTTGAGTATTTTAAAAAAAATCTTGGACTATAAAAAGGCTCTTGTAATTGGTTAAAATTAGCTTGATATTTGTAACCATTTAAAACTACATAGGAATATATTTCTCTGTGACACTTAACCTTCTGGGAATCCTAGTAAAAGTAAATTAATTATTTCTTTCTTCCCTTTCCTTATTCTTCTATTTATCTCACTAAATCTCTCTTAATAACAAAGCCTGACTTACTAATTGGACAATATTGTTGAGGGGCTGAGGATGTATCTTTTAAAAACATTAACTGAGGCTTTTAAGGAAGACCTGACTTAGTAAGAATAAGCATTAGCTTCTATGCATGCTTTCATGAGACAGTTGATTTATCCAGAAATCACCCTGAGAACAGCTTAAATTCATTTCTTCTGGAACAGACCTGCCACCTAGAGTATGACCACTTGCTTCCTGGAGTAAGAATCTGCCCAGGTGCGAGGAAGCACAGCACCCTCGTGGTCTTCTCTGTGTGGGGGCGTGCGTGTGCATTTGGTAGATGGGGAGAAAAGCACACTGACATGTTCTGAAACGCTTGCATGCAGGCAAGCCATCAGACCCAGGTCAGACCGTCCAATGCAGTGATTTCTGCTGAGCATTTAACATAAATTCCGTCTTGTTATTAACTCTCTGTCTGGCCAGCAGCTCTATCAGTTGTCATTTCCTTGGTCAACTTTCTGTTAAGGTGGTCTGGGCATGGGGTGGGAGGGGGTGGCTTCCATTTATAGTTCATCTCCTCTCTTGCTGTTATAGAGGCATTGAAAAGCCAGGAGTTTGCCAACTCTCTCCCTAACCCAGGAATGGATGTACGTTAACATTATCAAATGTCTAATCAGCAAAGCAGCTGTGTTTTGCTGAAAGGGCTCCAAACCACCTGATTCATGTCTTCTCTATGAAATAAATGATAATGGCCTCTGTCAGGTGACACCTGTTAGAAGCCTTACAAAGCATTTTCCCTGAATATGCTTCAGGGACAGCATAAACAGTCCCTGCTTCTTTTTATAATCTTCTGGGCAAGGCTTTAGGACATTCTACCGCATCTGCCACATGGATAAACAGCCCTATCCCTCAGTCCCTGCGCATCCATTCTGCTTCCCTGACCCGCCACGGCCTGGCTCAGCTGAGGTCCCGGGAAGCTGCATCAATACCGTCTGATCTCTGGCTTCAGATCCTCAGGAACTGGTCAGGTTCAGAGGGCAGCTGGAGATGGTGTGGGCATTCTCAGATGCAATTTAGAAGTTTCTATTTGGGAACTGTCAGTTTGAGCCAAGTCGCTCTGCTGTCCTGGGGTTCCCAGGAGGGACAAGGGGAGGTGACAGCAAGCAAGACCTGCTTGGTTTGCTGTGGGTAAATAGAACTGTTTGGGTGTAAATCATTTATTTTAGTTTGAGCAGTAAAATGTTGTCTCTTGAATTTTTGATATTATTTTATACCCTGCTCCAAGGACGCAAAGAGAGTACCTGCAGTCTAAATTTTGAAAATATATTTTCTGTTGTGTATTCTTTGCCTCCACATCAGTATTAGGGATATGGCTGGCCATTTCCTTAAGGCTATAAATCTGTATTCTTAGGGAGGGAAAATATGGGTGCATATGTGTGTGTCTGTATGTATACGTGCACAGAACAAAACAACCTTGTGAGATCAGGAAGAACTGTTCCCTTTGGTTTGTGTGCATGACCTTCCTTTTCCTTGACTTCGTCCAAACTTGATGCACCCTGCTTTGGAATCCTGAATGTGGTTGGGTCAGAGGGTGACGATGTAAGTCATACTGTATGTGTACATATAGATCTGGTATAAAGATATATATATATATTTGTATTTATATATGTATATACACAGGCATGCAGGAAGGGGGTTAGAGATGGCCTACTCTGGAACCCATGATGTGGAAAGTTCTTTCTTATAATTATGTGAATGATTTGAATGCTTTTAAGACTCATTGTTGCCTTCTACACACTTCTCTCTGAATTTACCGTAGCCCAAGACATGACCACATACTCACAGACACATAAATGAAAGGAAAGCAGGGGCAAGCAGTGGAGGACGCTTGTATCCCATTCAGTGAGGGAACAAGGTTGATGTAGGTTATGTGCAGTGCATATCACTGAGGTGAGAACTGGGCCTGGGAATGTTGTCTTCTCAAATGCAACTTTTCATTAAGGACCACAACACTCCCTGTGAAGTGGAGCTCCCAGGCAAGTACAGTGCTCCAGGCTGCCTGGGTCAGTCCTCACTGTGAGCTGGGAATGAACGGGAAGGTGTGAGGAAGCAGGGGAGGACCAGAAAGTGTTGGAATAAGAAGCGGGTAGCACGGCACCTCCCTCAACCTTGATCCTTTTACATGGTCTATCTGCAGTTGAGTCAAAGTCACCTATTTAAACCTCTTTTTGAACAACAAACCAGTCAATCTAGAATTCACCCAATAACCAACTTTGCTCCCCTTCAAGCAATACACTGGGTAAACAACCAGAGATTTTTAAACTAAAAGTTCACTTCCTTATTCTCTTTCACTGTAAGGAACCAGCACAAATTCTTGCCTCGATACAAAGTCTTGCCCTTGGTTAAAGGGATGCAGGTTTCTTTCACACATCTGAAAACCCAGCTTTGCAAGTGGGGGAGACTTGACAGCTAGCCTTCTAGGTGGCAGCCATCTTGCTTTCTTGTTTTCCCGGGGGGTCTCCAATTTGAAGTGCTTTTTGCTTGTGGGCGAAGAGCAATGATGGGCATTGCCCATTATTGCCCTGATCTGTGGAGGGAGCTGAGGTTTTGTGGAGGAAATACTGAGCTGGAGTTGTCAGGTTACCTTTCCTCTTGCTCAGCTGTGAGTTTGGCATCCTGCCTCCCTATGTTGAGAGGTATGTGCTCACAACAAAACCACAGCAGGTACCAGTGACAGAGTAGACTGGAGGGAAGAACACATTCGGTGAAGTTCCCCACATGTGATGTGTGCCAGCTTAGACATAGGATGGGTGCAGAATGATGGGCCATCCTCTAATCACTTTTTCAATTGATATTAAGGAAAGCATGACTTGGGGAAATGGAAAAAGTGCTCTACATATTTTTTCATCAGTTCAGTTTGCCTGTCCCCCCCCCCCCACTGCTGGTTTTATTTTCCACTGACATAGACCTGAGATCATACAAGGTGTCGAACAGAACTTGGGGGCACTGAATGAATGAAATGAAAATATCCCATGTCATGCTGAGCAAAATCAGGAAAAATTAAAAACATTAAAGTGACTGGCTTGAAACCAGCGTAAAGAAGCTGTCAAGTATAGTCTTTACTGAACTCTGAAAGCTAGCCAGAGTCCCAGATGGGGTCCTGATGGAAGAAGAGACACAGGTGTTGCATGGGCTTTAACCAGACCCTCGTGCTGCCACGACCTGACACAGGACTCAGAAACCTTCCTGGGTGTGCTGAGTGTGCAAATGCCTTTCCAAACATCTCTAAGCTGCCTCAATCCAAGCAGGATTGGTCAGAGTTAATTTAGTTCTATTGGGAACAGTGCTTTCTTCAGACCCTCAAGCCGTTTAGGACCACACTGGAAAAACGCTTTAAAAAACTATGCTCTTACATTCCCATGAAGTGGCAAGTCCTGCTGAGCTGGATGGTATTTCTTATCACACATCTAGGCTCTCTTGGCAGGCATTTCGACTATGTTTATGTCCTTAGCATCAAAATATGCCTAAATGACAATCACAGCTGAACTCACCCCTCTTCTTTTGATGAGAATGGGACATGCGTTGAAAAAAAAATAGGTTTAGTTTATATAGTCTTGCTGTCCTAGAAAAGCACTAATTTGGTTTGTAGTCATATTTTCTACGTGCATGCTGGGACAATATAAGATAAAACAAAACAAAACCAAAAATCCAACCCTGGTTACCTCCCTCCCCCCAAAACCGATTTCCACCCAGTCTGGATTTTACCTCTGTTTGTTCTAAGTAACCCTGTGAGTTTCAGCCAGTGTACCCCAGTGGAGGTGAACACATTGCCTTCCCTCTTAGGCTTGTGGGAGTGTTTTGGGGGGCTCAACTCAGGGCCCTTACATACCCTTCCCACCAAGCCCTCTGCCCTGCAAACTATTTCATTAAACTGTCCACCTCACCAAAGCAGGATCTCAGTAAGTTCAAGGTAGGTTGAAGGTCACAGCAATTCTACCTTTGTCTACTGATTCTATTATTAATAGTTTCACCTCTTGTGCTTAAGAGGTAAAGCCCAGACTGAAGGTTGATGCCCCACTTCAAATAGGTACTATAAATATACTAGAGCTATCCCTGAAAAGATGCATTTGTACTTATATATATTATATTAATATATATGGTTATATATATATATAATTTCTCTTTCTTTGTGTTTATATACAGGTATATATTAATCTATAGTAAGGAAGCAGAGGTATAGTACAGGAACAAGCAGGGTTTGTGTGTTCATGTGCGTGTATTTATAGTATGTATATGTTATACGTATATAGAGAGCCTCCGTCCTTGTTTTCGTCGTTACAGCGAGTGTACCTCCGACCAGCGAGGAGTACCTGTCAGCGGTGAGTGGGCAGAAGCCCCGTAGTGACGGTTCTCTTTGTCTCTTAGGCGAAGTCATTTCCGTAGGCAAGGATGGAAGCAGCCTGCGAAGAGAGTGGGCCCAGTGTGACTCCATCCCTCCTCCAGTCGGCCAAGGAGGGACACGTGGCCTCCAGGGCTGTGTGTCAGCTGCCTCTGCTCAAAAGCGCTCAAGGAGCCTGGAGCCCAGAGCGGGGAGGGACCATCCCTGCTGTTGGTTCAAGATATGGCTTTTCCTGCTAGATGGAGACAGGGCACATAAGGATTCTGTCTTCTAGGAGGACGCTGACCACCAGGAACACGAAGTAGAGGCCGAACATGATGAAGCCCAGCACTTTGTTCATCCGCCATTTGCAGAGGGCGATGGAGAGGATGACGAAGAGCAGCATGATGAAGAGGAGCACAATGGCACAGAAGAGGCCGTTGCTGCTGACAGTCACCGGCTGGAATTTGCGGATGATGGTGTACAGGAGCCAGGGCAGCGGGAGCCTGCGGGGCGGAAGCAGGGCGGGGTGGGCAGACCAGGCAGCAGTGAGACTCGGGGAAGAAGGCACTGGGCCCTACCTTAGCTTCTTAGGAGCCAGCTCTGAGAAGGTTCACTATGGCCCAGGCATAGGAAATTTTCGGCCCAGGAAATCACATATGGAAGGAAAGTGAACCTTAGAAACCTTTGTCTGTGTCCTCACCAAATTAGGGAAAACCAACAATTTGCTCTACAGTTGGATGCTATCAAAGACATGACTGCCACAGGTGGTTTCTGAATTTGATCTGCAATTATTTGATCTGCAATTAGTTTCTGAATTTGATCTGTTTCCTCCCTAGTTGAGATCAAAATGTTGATTTCAGCCCTAAAAAAAGTGAGCTGCAGGATTTGTACAGGGTGATGGGTGGAGAAGACAAATGGAGAGAAGGTACAGAAATGAGTGGTGAAAATGGAACAAATTATTTTTTTAAATGGCGAAGAGAATAGCAATGCCTTAGTTAACCATCTAAAAGCAAGTGAAATTAAATGAGGTTAGTGGGGATCGTGGTATAATATAGCAGCCTAAAGTTTATTCTGGAAAAGATGTTGACAATCTTTTGATTCAAAAAATGATCTTCTTAAAAGATTTGAAGAAGACAGTTATCTTCCATTTTTTATTTTCTAAAAACGTTATCTACTTTTATACCCATTCTCTCCCTTTTCATTTGACTTTTAAAATATGATGCCAACTTTTGTTTCCTATCCAGAGTGGTGATTCCGAAAGACATCAGGGAAGCTAGTTGCCAGGTATACCAAAGGAGTCGACTAGAACTCTGTGGGAGAGGAACGTGGCTCAAAACGCACAGCTCAAGGGGTGTGGGCATCTCCCAGGGGCTGGCAAAATGGAGCCAGTTCTACCCACTGATTCTAATGAATCTAATAATTCTAATGCCTAGAGAGACCTGGACCCAGCTGGCTAAGCCTTTCACATGGCAGTGGCCAAGAGAGGCCCACTCTTGGCCTGGTCTCAGAGTGTGGAAGAGGAGGTGCTCTTTTGAAATATTAATTTCTCCAGAGGAAAAGCAAATAGCTTGTGAGAGAAATAATGAGGGTGAAAGGGGCAGTGAGGTTACTCATTTGTCTTCTCTGCTGGAGAGAGTGCATAGAAGACAGAAGCCACTCATTACACATCTTTGAAATCCCAGGGCCTGGTATATGTTAACCTGGGCCAACCGGAAGTGATTGATGTGACTGCCTTGTGGCGGTCAGTACAGGAACTTTGCCAACCAGAGCCTGGCAGGGAGGTGCTTGCGTTAAGCGGGCATTGTGGGGAGGTGTTCTACCCAGACAGCCCTGGAACAGGTGTAATTCCAGTTCTCAGCAGGAGGGGGCAGCCCTAGCATCCTGAGGTCAGCAATGAAAAGTCAGAAGAGGAAAGGGGAGGGCCAGAGAGTAAGGGTGGTACAAAAATGAAAACCTTTGATGGGGACTTGTCCTAGGGAAGTTTTCTTTCATCTCTTACAAAGAAAAAGACCCCAACCCATTTTATTCTTAGTGAACTAGACACACACACAAACACGCATACACACATCTGGTGAAGTTGAGGTTGATAGCACTACAAATAATTTGCAAAAACCCTTTGGGGAAAAACATGACATTTTTCATAACTTTTGATCTATCAATTCTATTGTCAGGGATCAAATATAAGAAAATAATTTTAAACGCAGGTATAACTATTCAGAGAAATTACTTTGATGTTATTTTGGATAGTAAAAAATGGGGGATCTCTAATAATCTCTAACAATAGGGAACTAAATAAATAGCAGATAAGTCAATGTAATGTTATATAGCTATTTTAAAATACAAGCTTATAATGATAAAGGAAAATACTCATAATTCTAAACTTAAATGAAGGACATACAAAAATAGTAATGCAATTTTAATTATGTAAAATACACAGGAAGTAAAAAAGGGTAGTGAATTATTATTGATATTTATTTGTGCACCATATATATATTTTCTAAATCTGTGAGTATATGTTAATCATGTAAGCAAAAAGAAAATGCTGGCAAGGCTATCAAGAAACTTTTACACACAATATATTGCTAATGATGTCACTTAATATATTGCCAACAACATTGTAAATTGGCAAAAACTCTTGGAAAGAACCTTTTGGAAAAGAAATATACAAAATACATCAATAGCCATTAAAATGTTCAATATATTTAATCCATTAACACTGCTTGAAGGAATTTATCTTAACAAAGTAAAAAGAGGAAGTTTTTCTGCATAAAGGTGTTCATCAAAGCATCCATAATAGCAGAAAATTGAAAAAATTAAAAAGTTCCTATTACATGATAATAGTTAAACTGAAAAGCAACAAGAAGGAATGTTTAAGGCCATAAAATGTTAGTTATAAGAGCTTTGAAGAATCTTAGAAAAATGGTTGATATGATTTACGAATAGATACCTCTTTGTGCCAGGCATATATGGCTTTAAAATAAAATGGAAAAATAAAAACCTTCCAAGAGGACAAAACTGAATATTTCACTAAGAAAACTTTGTGAAATATTTGGAAGAGAACATACAAAAATAAATAATTTCTGGGTAGTACCATTAGTGGTGATTTTTTTTAAAACTTTCATTTGGGGTGTGTGTGTATATAATCTAAGAACAATGAACAACAAAAAAAGCATGTGGTAATTACCTATAATATTTATTCTTTAGAAACATGACAAATATGTCTAACTGAACACATGTAATCTTTCTCAACTTGTAGGATATTTTCTTTTTATATTATAGAACATGTTTTTTTCCTTTTTACAAGAGATGAACCAAGAAAACTACTATAAATGTGTGGACAGCAAAACTGAGAAACACTGTTTATAAGAGGGACAACTTCCTTTAAAACATATAGCTTTTAAGGCATCCATCCATCCATCCATTCATCCATCCATCCATCCATCCATTAATTCCACAAACATTTGTCAAGCCACTACCAATGAATGGCAATGGACGAGGCTTTGGTCAGTTCCTGGTCTTGGGGAGTTCAGAATCTAGGGGGCAGACATGACCATGACAAGAGTAAGATGTACAGAGAGTGTACAGGAGAAGAGCCTCCAAGTCAGGACCAGGGGAATCATGGAAGTCAGGATTTGAGCTGACACTGGAAGGATAAACCAGACAGTTTGCAGTTGACAGCACTATCTCTTTGTTCAAGTTCCAGCTACCTCCTTCAGCTTTCTTATCTGAAAAATAGGGATAATACACACCTCACAAGGTTGTTGTGTGGCTTAAACAGATAAAAATGTATGCACAGTGTACATGGTAGACACTGTATGAATAATAATAAATATTAATATATATTTGGTAAGGAAAAGGTGTAAGAGAGAACAATATTCAAGATGTTCAGTGGGAAAGTCGATGCATTTTAGTGGGGTTTTCAAACTTAAGTGTCAAGAGCCCAGTTCCTCTGGGAAAATAAAGATATCATCCCATGTCTTATTTTCTCAGGGGGCTGCCATTTAGGGTTATTTGTCAGATTACTTTTACTTTTCACAAGTTAAATGAAACAATATAGATAACAGTGCCCCTTCCCAACTGGATTCACTTTCGTGATTATTCATATCGAGAACTCTAGTTTGCTTAACTGTAAGAACAGATCTCATGTTCTACTAGAATATCTTCATCGGCACAGATAAACACATGATCATGCCAAGACTGCCAGCGTTTTCCAAGGAAGGAGACAGGATATTTGTGCTGGGCCTATGTTTGTTCCGATCTGCCTTAAAATCCAAATCCCACGTTAGCTTCGTGGGGACTTTAATTAAAACATGGAAAAAAATATTGTGACGCCATCAGAGTATCTAGTTCCGCCTGGATGTTGTTATATAAGTGAAATTCTTTTAGTGTTTCCTAAAACATCCATTTTTGTATGTAAGTATGTGTTCCTGTCTGTCCAGGGGTGACAAATTCTTCATTAAGTTCTCTAAAAATCAGAGGAGAATTGGGGAAACCCAATAGTACTGTCAGTTTTTACTTCTATTGGTCAGTTTTGGGCTTAAGATCCTGGTCATGTCTTTTCAGCTTCTAAGAAGATAAGGACAGTGATGGAGTTGGCATGCATCTTTATAGAACTATCTCTACTCACCCTACAGTGATGTCAAAAATGTTGCTTCCAACAGAGCTGGACACGGCCATGTCCCCTAGCCCCTTCCGGGCCACTATGACGCTGGTGATCAGATCAGGGATGGAGGTCCCAGCAGCCAAGATGGTCAGACCCATAATCTCCTCACTAATGCCAATTGTCTCCCCAACCTAAAGGCCAGAACGGGGATAAACATATGAATGTTTGAAATTACAAAATCATTAAAACCACACAAATGTCAATGCAACTTACTTTTCATGAGTTTCTATTCTGTGCTCTGTGAAGTGCTGAGGTCATAAAGACAAATAAGCCACAATCATAGCTAACAGAGGAGTTTATACTTTTATGTATTCAGACCCAGGAAATCAGGAATTTAATAAACCATCTCAATCTGAAGTTAAAAAGCTAGAGAGGGCTAGAGGGCAGCCTCTGTATAGTGCTTTCTAAGACTGAGCCCGGGGAGCCGCAGGATTGGAGTTAGAAAGCTAACTGGCCATTGAACCCAGGGGCCAGCCCCTGGCAGGGGCACCCACACCTGCAGCAGATATGCCCTTCGGTTTACCACCAAATTTAAGGACTGACACCCAGTGTCCCCATTTTTCCTCAATATCTCTTGGTGTCTGTAACACACTTTTAAATATTTGTAGATTCTACCATTTCACAAAGAACTTGATTTTTGGGTATTTTGGGGTTTGGTCATATGAGACTGTAAATCAGCAAGGCAACTGTGGTGAAGCAAAAGTTAGGGAATCTGAGGACTTGGGACCAATTTCTGGCTCTGGAATTTATTAAGTTCTTGACTTACTGCTGACTGGACTGGCTGTACAATGTCTCTGATCCTCGATTCCTCATCCACAGAGTGGGGATAATAGTACCTACTTTACAAGGTACTTCTTAGGACTAAGTGGTAATTTGTGGAAAGATTCTTTGTAAATAGTACATCATTATTGAAAAGCAAGGTGGGGGCAGCTGTTATTTAACACATTTTCTTTTGGTCTTTGCCCTTTAAGACTGATGAGTTCTATTTTGAAGTGTTGGTCTAGCCTCAGATGGAAGCTCCTCCATTCTCTTGAGCAATTTGTTTGTCTTCTTGGGACTTTTAAAAACTTTATGTACTTTGCTGGAGTTGATGAGCTGTGGTTCTGAAAACCTTCAAGATAGTGCTTTCCATCTGGTTTCCAATAGGCTACTTGATGGTGTCCAGTGTTTTAAAAAAATTTAAAGGGCTGAAATAGCATATAAGGACAAGGCTTTTTAGAGAATAGAATACACTCACTTCTAAATTGCTTTTTAAAACATTTTATAAGTAATGGGTTGGTTCTTTTCATTTTTAAATGGTGTTTCTTAAAGAACAAAAGTTTTAATTTTGATGAAATCTAGTTTATCCATTTTTTTTTCTTTTATGGATCATCCTTTTCTATTATATCAAAGAATAACTCTTTACCTGACCTATGGTCATGTATATTTTCTATGTTTTCTTTTAAAAGTTTGCTAAGTTTTAGCTCTTACATTTAGAATCATGATCCACTTTGAGTTAGTTTTTGAGTATAGTATGAGGTAAGGATCTAAGTTTATTTATTTTGGCATATGGAAATCCAATTATTCCAGCACCATTTGTTGAAAAGTCTATCCACATATGTTCTCTTGGTATATATTTCCTCATTTCAAATTGCTATATTTTATTTATGTTAACAAGTATAATAATTTTAGGACTATATTAAACAAAGGATACAAGTGGGAAGTTTGGAATTTATGTAGTATATAATAAAGATTAAAAGCATGAGTTTTGGAGTTGCAACATCCTGGGTTAGAATCTCAGTCTACCACTTAGTACCTATGTGATCTTGGGTGATCTTAAAGATTTAAAGCTTAAAGTTTAGAGCTTTAAACTTTATCTGTAAACTGTGGCTAATAACAGGCCCTCCCTCATAGAATTTGAACCTATGTGTAGGTTACTGTCAAGAGTTTAAAGACAAAGAGATGTGAATTGCACGGCATGTAGTACACACTCAATCACCAATGGTTACCACTATCATCTTTGAAAATGTGAAACCTTGGTTTTCAATAACAATTACTGATAGTGTATTCTTGTGATAGGCGCTATGACTCGTATTGAGTTGAAATGGATAATAATGAAATACATCATCATTTTTATAAACTGAAGCTCAAGGAAGAGGCCAATTTGTCTCCAGGTCTTTTCCTAAGCTCTAGTTTTGAAAGGCTGGTGACACCGTGAGATGAGTGGCTGCTGAAGATAAAGCAGCCTGAGCCAGGCACAACCCCTAACACTCTTCCCAGGCCAGAGCTGGCCGGGCTTCAGGCTGCAGAGACAAGAAACAGTAAGGCTTTTCCTCCTCCACGTGGCTGTTTGGGGACTATGATTTAGTTCCATGCTATATTGAAAGGACTGGAGACTTGGGAAAGTTAAGTGGAGTAAATTCCTTTAGTCCTGGGATGTGCAACTTGTCCGTGTCACACCCAATATTGTCGTGACAATTTTAGAAAGCAAACACATTGATTAACCACTTGGCAACCAAGATCAAAGAAAAACCAGGCAGACGGATGCCATTATTGAAGTCTTACCTGGTGCGCCCACCAGACCATCAAGTAAGAGAATATTGCAATCCAGGTGATGGAGCCAAAGAACGTGATGGGAAAAAACTTCCTCGATGACTGAAAGACAACCAGGAAGAGGTGAGAGTGTCAGTGTTATCAATGGAGGTGGACCCGATAGTTCAAACTAAAGCCATCAATGCAGCTATTTCTCCTGCATTTCTTGCATCTTGGTAAGATTAGCAATCAAAAGGACCTACCCACCCCTGATCAAGCTGGGACAGTAAGATTCTGTTCTGGAAATGTGAAATTGGTGGGAGCTGAATGATCACAATTCTGGGTTTTGAGCTGGAAGTCTCTCGAAGAGAATGTCTGGTAGTTCCTGCTGCTACATGGTCAGGTTCCGTCAGCTCCTGTTCTTTTTAAGCCCCGATTTCTCAGTCTTTCCTTCAAATCTATTAACTACCCCATATTCTCTTTATGTGTTCTTCTCCCTTTTCTTTCTTTTGCTCTCAAGTCTGTCAGAATCAGTTTCTACTGCTTGCAAACCATGTATTCTAATAATCCACATGCCAGAAAACCTTTGGGTTTCATTACACTGAACAAGAAATGGGAGGGATCAATAGCTTTAAAAATAGATTGGCTTATCTTATAATCCCATGAATTATCAGGAAAGCCACACAGCTTCCACAGGTTCCTGATGACAGCCGGTCTCCAGGACATTTGAGCCACACAGGCTGACTGGAGTAGACAGAGGCAGAGATGCCCAACTGCGCTGGTCTCCCCCAGGGTGGCAGATCAGACACTGCTCTTGGGAATGTCTTCTCTCCTGTTCTCCACCCCGAACTATATCACGTTCATTTCTGCTTCTAGCACTAGACATTGTGCAACAGCAAGCTTACAAGGTGAGCACTTTCAAAGTTTCCTAGGAACATCGGCCAAAAAACAGACACAAAATTCAGTGTTCCTTATCCGACCCCACTAAAGGGAAATCCGGGCGTGCAGTGTAGTTGTGTTCTGTTGATGCCCCGTGGTGAAAATTGGGGTCCTTTAAAACATGCTCAGACAGCAGAATGCTGTCAGAGAGCCTCTCACCTATTATTGCCAAACACTTTCTATTTTAAAGCTTTCGAGTTGAGAAACAATCCCACTTTTTGCTTTGATAATGTCATCCAATTTTGTCCCAAGAAATGAATCTTAGAGTTGACTTGGATGAAAGCAATCTCAATTGTCTGAAGGGCTGACCTTGGGCAGTCACGTAGAACACTTTCTGCCTTGGGTTTTGAGAGCTTCATTAAAAGGAAAAGATAAACTTGTACATAGTAATCTTTTGAATATCTATAATGGTGAACATAGTCTCTATCGCTCCAAACCAGACTTATATTCTCTTTACTAATTTCAAGTTTTCAATACATATTTTCATTATCATTCACATGGTTCTCTTAAACTTCACGGTAACCTTTTCTCTGTTTAAACGAATGCCTTTTTTTTGGGCTATTCATTAGCTGGGATGTCTGGAAGACCAAGCAAGCTTGATTAAATTGGGGGAGGGCATCACGTCACAGTGAGTAGCCAAAACCTTACTTTCAAATCTCAAATGCTTCCCTGACCCCTTTCTTTTCTTTTCTCTTTCCTTCGTTCCTTCCGACAGGTCTCACTCTGTCATTTCGTCAACCTCAAACTTCTGGGCTCAAGCAATCCTTCTACTTCAGTCTCCTAGTAGCTGGAACTACAAGTGTGCACCACCATGGCCAGCTAATTTTTCTATCTTTTATAGAGATGGGGTCTCTTGCTTAGGCTGGTCTCCAACCCCTAGCCTCAAGCAATCCTCCTGCTTCGGCCTCCTAGAGTGCTAGGATTACAGACGTGATCGCTGTGACTGGCCCTCTTCCTTTTCTTAGAAGGAAAATATTTTGGACAAGGACTCAGACCTCCCAGGGACTTGAGCACTTTAATGCTAATGGAAAACAACGATCAGTTTTTCCAAGTGGGGATTATGATCTTCACTTTTGAAAGCAAATTTCTTTAGAGCTGGGAGTTCAGCTGGATTCTGGAGACTAGATTCCTTAAGCCAGTGTTAAGAGATCAAGTTTTTGCTTTAAGGTATCTCCATATTGCTTTCCACAGAGGTTGCACTAGTTTGCAGTCCCACCAGCAGTGTATGAATGTTCCTATCTCTCCACATCCACGCCAACATCTATTGTTTTGGGACTTTTGGATAAAAGCCATTCTCACTGGAAACAACCCAAGTGCCCATCAATACATGAGTGGATTAATAAAATGTGGTATATGTATACCATGGAGTACTATTCAGCTATAAGAAACAACGGTGATATAGCACCTCTTGTATTTTTCTGGATAGAGCTGGAGCCCATTCTACTAAGTGAACTATCCCAAGAATGGAAAAACAAGCACCACATGTACTCACCAGCAACTTGGCATTAACTGATCAACACCTAAGTGCACATAAAGGAATAACATTTATCGGGTGTAGGCAGATGGGAGGGGGAGGAGGGGATGGGTATATACACACATAATGAGTGCGATGCTCACCATGTGGGGGATGGTCACGCTTGAAGCTCTAACTCCAGGGGGGAGGGGGCATGGGCAATATACATAACCTTAACATTTGTACCCCCATAATATGCTGAAATAATAATAATAAAAAAGAGAGATCAAGTTTTCCCCGGCAAGGCACTTAGCTGATTAGAATTCCCATCCTCTTCCTCTGGTCACAAGTCACTGTTTCAGGATCCTAAGTGTGATGAGGGCTTCATCCCCCACAGTGTGTTCTGTTTGCAGGGAGGAGAGGGCTCCTTTTGCCATGTGGGGCAGCACATGTGATCTGAGCAGCAACCAGTGCTTGATTCTGAGCACTGTGTGAGGGGAATGGAGGCTTTCTGCAGACTTTCAGGTGTGGCGTATGTACTGGATGTCCCGGGAGAGTCCTCTTTCCATACACTGCTCGCTTTCCAGGTTAGCTCATTTCCTAAATATGTAATTATTTTATTTTTGTTCCTTTGCATGTATATTCATTGAGATAACTTCACAAGTCAGAATCAAATCATTTGAACATATATATATATATTTTTTTTTATCATCACTGAATTATAGAACATTCTCTGCTAAAAGGTAGACAGCAAGGAATCAGACTAAGGATTTAAAGGAACTAAATTTAAATCAACATATTTATGAAAACCTCTCTAATTCAATATTAGATGATCATGATTCTTAATCGAGAAGCCAATTAGTAATGAATGGATATTGAAACATACCTCATGTTGCATTAGAGGTGCATTGGGAAAAAAAGGCTAAAGATAAATTATTTTGTGAATATTCAGAGTCTTCATCATAAACTAGGGGTAGGTGAAGGCTGGGTAGTTACTCTATATCCAGATATTGAACCTGAAATAAAATCCAAACCTAGGTCTGCCCGACTGCATAGCATGTGCTCCTAACATCTAGGTTATACTGATGCTTTTCTGAAGAAAAATAGGGCCAACAAGACTCAAAATATACCCCGCCATAGACATAATGATCATCATCCAAATACTAAGCTCTACTTGGAATGTTAGAAAATAAAAAAAGCATTGGGGAAGTGGAGACTAGCGTTCCGGCTGCATGGCCATCTGCCTCGCCCAACCTCCCAGACTGTTCCTGCTTCGGAAGTAGCAACTCTTCGTGCATCGGAAGTTTGGCCAAGTGTTTCCCAACCGTCAAACCACCTAACGATTTCCATTCTCACAACCCAGGTAATTCCTTCTTCTCTCATTTTTTTCTGGATCATTCCCCATATTTGGACTCCATGGTGTCATTCCAGACATCACTGCCCAGTAACACCTTCATAGGTTTTTAGTTGCCAGTGTCATGGGAAGGAGGAAAATGGCCCTTGAAGCCAAGGTCTAACATGTCAATTTATGGTTAGCACTGGTGGTTCTTCCTGACATCTGCCTGGCTAGGCCTCATACTAATTAGCAAATAAGCAAATCGTGTCCATGTGCTGGCCATTTTGTTCCCAATGTAATGGTTTACTTATATAATTCACAGCTAATGTTCCCATTAGAAGCTTTTAGTACATCAGAATGATATTGACTTGGCTTGAAAAAAAGTTACTGGACATTAACAGGTTGCACAAATTGGCCATATCCTTACTGAATTAAATCCAACAAATATTCACCGAGCATCTGCTCCGTGCAGGGTTCTGGAGTATACATATTTAACAAAGTTCTCCCGAACCATCCTATTAAAGATTGAAAGAGTGGTCTCTGGATTAACATGACTGATATTGAAATCTTTGCCCATGAATTACGAGCAATGTGCCCTTAGACAAATAATTTAATCTCTGTAAGCCTTGGTTTCTTCATCTATAAAATGGGAGAAATAACAATATCCAATTGTTCTCAGGATTTCATGTACATAAAATGTCTAGCAAAAAGTGCGTGGCACACAACAAGTGCTTAGATAATAACTGTAGTTGTTACTAGACAATACAATCATCGCATGGTATCCATGGGGAATTGTTTCCAGGACACCCCCTCCTTGGATACCAAAATCTGCGGATGCACAAGTCCCTTACATAAAATGACATAATATTTGCATTTAGCCTATGTACATCCTCCTGTATACTTTAAATAATCTTTTGAGTATTTATAATACCTAATAAAATGTAAATGCTGTGTAAATCATTGTTGTATTGTTTTTATTTGCATTTTAATTATAATATTGTTATTTTTTATTGCTTTTTTCCTCCTGAATATATTTGATCTGTGGTTGATTGAATGCAGAACTTGCAGATACTTGTTTTAGCTTTAAGAGATGAGGAAACTGATACTCAGGGAGGTGAAGGTGACCATGGAGACCTGGCCTCTAGTCTTGGCTTTGCCTCTTACTAGCTGGGTGTGCTTGGACAAGGCACTAAACCTCTCTGGGTCTCAACCACTCCATCTTCGCTAGAACTGTGCCTGGCACATAACAGACTCTCAATAAATACTCAGTGAATGAACGAATGATGACATTGCAAACACCTATTTGGGCTCTCAGTTCCTTCCTAGTTCTAATGGGGCATGTTTTTGTATGTCAGTAGAGAGAAGACTTATTGGGTCTTTATTTTGTTTACTGTCTCCAATTTTCGTCAAAGACATGTTCCTCATTAAGGTTTACATTTTAGTTCTTTTACTTTTGAAACAAAGCCATTAATTTAAGACAACTATAAACATGAAGCCCTTATTAATTATCTGAGCTGAAAATATGCATGATTCAACAAACACTGTCATATCATTTGCATATAAATGAACTGGAAACAAAAACAAGTGGGAGTACTATTTACTCTGAAACTAGGAAGTACACATTAAAAAATCATGTTTTCCTTGTAATATTTGTCAAGGTTTGGTATATTCATCTCCATGGGTAGGTAATTCAAAATGTACTGAAGAGGCAGAGCTGCCAGGGAATAAGGAGAAGCAAATATCTACAGTTAATCATTTTCTTCTCTCTCTTTTTTCTCCCTGTATATTTTCTCAAGAGGCTGTTATGAAAGTACATGAGATTTATGGCAGATTGCAAAAATGGCCACAAGACTTCACTGCTCCTCCCAGCAAGAGGTGAGGTCCAGGCTGGGTGTGGTGGCTCATGCCTGTAATCCTAGCACTCCGGGAGGCTGAGGTGGGAGGATTGCTTGAGGTCAGGGGTTCGAGACCAGCCTGTGCAAGAGTGAGACCCCATCTCTACTAAAAATAGAAACATTATCTGGCTGTGGTGGTGTGCACCTGTAGTCCCAGCTACTCAGGAGGCTGAGGCAGGAGGATCGCTTGAACCCAGGAGTTTGAGGTTGCTGTAATGCCATGGCACTCTAGCCTGGGCAACAGAGTGAGACTCTGCCTCAAAAAAAAATAAATAAATAAAAAAGAAGTATGTCTATTTCCCCACCTTTTGCATCTGGGCTGGCCTTATGACTTGCTTTGACCAATAGAATGTGGTGGAAGTGTGCAAATTCCAAATTAGATCTCAAGAGGTCTGTGTAGCTTTCATTCTTGCTGCTCTTGGCACTTTGCCGTTATGTGAGGAAGTCCAGGCTAGCCTGCCTAAGGATGACCAGGTGGAGCAGAGACAAGCTGTTCCAGCTGAGACGCCCCTACACCAGCCAGCCCCCAGCCATGTAAGTGAGTCCCACTGAGCCCAGCCCAAATTGCAAATTCACAGAATTATGGGTGAAAAAATGCTTCTTGTTTTAAGACACTAAGTTGAGGAGGTGTGTTATATAGCAAAATACAATTGATACAAGATCAAATCTAATGAAAATCTTCTCACTACACATGATCACTTATTGGCTTTTGTATCAGCTGGTACTTTTTTTTCATTTAGCATATTGTATATGCAGAGGATGCCCATAGAATTTATCTTTATATTTATCCCAGTATGCTTTGGGAGGATTCTGGGCAAACTGGGACATATGGTCACCTTAAATGTGCAATACCTTGTTTATGATCATCTCTTTATGAATGCTGTCCTTAATCACAGAATGGCATGGCTGGTGTGGAGTCTAGAGATCTTCCAACCTTTTATTCCCAGAGAAGGAAAAATGGGGCCCAGAGTTGAGATGTGCCTTTCCTAAGGTTGCACAGCTCATAAATGTTAGGGGGAAGCCCCCTGCAGTCCATGTGGTAGAATGAAAATGTTCTGGAATCATGAGACATGGGTTCAAGTCCAGCTCCTCTCACAAATACAGCTGTGCAATCTTGCTCTGCAGTTATATGTGGGCATGGCTTGTTTCCTCTACTAAACTTAGGGCTCCTTAATGATAGAAATTGCGAATTTTGTGTCTTTACATCTCTTTAAGGCCCCAAGCCCAGTGCTTGGCATATAATAGGTGTTCAATAAATATTTGCTGAGGACGTTTCAAAACAACCAAATGTTCTTCGTGAGAGTCTCACTTCTGATTGGAACAGCATGTAGTATACTTAGAAAAAGACAGGAAAAACTCCAGTCCATCCCAGGGCTGGCCCTTGGAGGCATGGTGAGGGAAAGCCCCACTGCCCACCCTGGCCCATGTCACAGGGGCTGGTTCTCATGGGTGCACGGCACAGGGAGTGACAAGTCAACGGCATTACAGAAGAGAGCATTGCGTCCAACTCCATCTTTTTGCTCTGTGCTCCCCGGGATTGTAGATTCAGCCAGAGCAGTTGTCATGATCCAGGCAACTTAACTACTGCCTTGGTTGATTTCTGTTTGTTTTGCAGGAGTTGCTGGTTGGGAGCCTTTGATCTTCTCTCACAGCTTCTTTGACCTTTGAGCTCAGACTCCCAAGAGGAAGAACACTTTGCCAGCCCTTGCTCTAAGAGGCCATCCCAACCCTGAGAGCCCAGGGCCTTGAGTTGCTGGCATCTTCCTCCCATTCCTGCACATCTCCCTGACTGCTCAGTGGTTGTGTGCTGGCATCCTCCTATCAGCCAATCAGCCCCCTCTACTCCAGGCCACTAGGACTAGGACTTCTGCAGGGATTTAGACAACCACATCTGTCTCACTGATTCCCCTCACTTAGGTCAAACAAAAGCACTGGGCTAACAGCAGAGCAACAGAGAGAGAGAGAGAGAGAGAGAGAGAGAGGGAGAGAGAGAGAGAGAATGAGTGCAAGCGAGCGCATGTGAGTCAGCACATCTCAGAAATGTCAATGTGATATGAGCAAAAAAAGAGAAAAAAAAATCAAATACATCTAGGTATTTGGTTGTAGGTTTTCAGGAAGCCAGGACTTTGCATAGAGCAGATGTTCTGCAATTGTATCTTGAATAAAGAAGCCTAAATATTGTTTTAAGTGAGCCACACCAATTATATGCATCCTTTTCCAGGAAACCTCTGGAGTTGGGAGTCCTTACACAAGGGAGTCCTTGCCTGGTGTCTACTTGACTAGACATGGCTCTCCACCAGGCTGTATTATTTATAGGCCATGCTAATGGGATGGGATTTTTCTTCTGTCTTTTTGAAATGAGAAAAGTAGGACCATCATGGGACTCTTGAAGACTCATAAAATTATACTGGATGTTACCATAGTATTCTTCTACTCCAAATGCTTTTAGAAATAACTTTTTCAGATTTCTACCTTCCGGCATCATAAAATATGAGAAGCCCAAGAGCATATGTTTACACAGACCTGGGTCTGAATCTCAGCTTTGTCTTCAAGGAAGCGATCAGGTATAAATTAGTTAACTTCTTTGTGCCTAAATTTCTTTCTACTTATGTCAATAATATACATATTCCTACCCTAGATGTTTCCTGAGATTCCACAATATGGGTTATTGTGGGCCAGTAACTCAAGGCCCTGGGCTCTCGGGGTTGGGAGGGACTCTTAGAGCAAGGGCTGGCCAACGGGACAGAATGAAATGGTGGTGGTTTCACATCACTAAGTTTTGCAGTTGTTATGCAGATTTGATAGCCTGAACAATCACTGTGATTGTGTCTCTGTCCAGAGAAATTTTAGGCATATATAAGAAGACACAAGATGTGTATAACCATATACAGCATTTGAACTTGTACAGATCCGAACCCTAATGTTATGTGTGTTTTAAATTTCTAAGCCATATTCACTTTTATTTTTGTCTTGTTTTCACTACACATGTTATTGCCATAATCATTCAAATGTGGTATTAATACTGGAATTTTAGATTACACATCTCTTAAGAATAAGTATTATATTACTAACTATATAGTGTCATATTAAATATGCCTCTATGAGGAAAAAATAAAGAAGACACAAGAATCCATTTCACTTTCCCCTTTCCTTTTAGCATAAATCAAAGCACACTTGTGTTCCATGCTTTTTACAGGGAACCTATTAAAAAATGCCTTACTCACAGGTTTGCGAACGTCCGGTAAGGTGATCCAGAGAGGAAAGACTATGGGAAGAACGATCAGAAATGTGACTTGCTTGCGGGTGTTGGCAGGCCAGGCCAGGCTGAGAGGCTGGTCGTCTTCATCGTCAGCTGTCTCTGTGGTCTGTTGTAAAAAAAAGAGAGAAAAAATAAACAAACAAAGAAGAGGCTAATGAACATAGGCCCAAACAGCAAGAGCACAGGGCAAGGGAGGGAAGCTCCAGATCTCATTAGGAGTTTTCCCCGGAGTTGTCCAAGCCGCTTCCTACACGTGTTTTTTAGGTTTGTAAAGGAACCCCATCTGCCACAGTCTGAGTGCCAGGAACAAACAGTAAGTTGCCCAGCCGTGAGAATTTAAGAATTTTCTTTTCTCTCCTTGAACAGTCTTTGGCTTCTCATGTTCATCAACTGACTGTTTAACTCCAGTGGGCTCTGGCTACGATGCGTGAACTTTTTATGAGAAACTGTATCTGCAGAGCCAAAGACCTGATGACCACCATCCCCCCTTCTTCCCTCCTCCTTGAGGACAAAGCCACGGGATTCGAATCCTTGGGAAGGAAAACACTGATACACTTATAAAAATTAAAATTTTTTGTTTTGTTTTTGTAGAGCACTGATTTTCAGCAGGCAAACGAAGGTAACCACAGAAACAATGCAGTAATAATACTTCTACTGGCCCTGGAATAGTTAAGCTCATAGATTTTTTTTTTTTGTAGTCATGAGTTTTTAATCTGCTTAACCACCCCGTTGAAGCAAGGATTCAAAACCATTTTACTTGCAGCCAAAGACTTCTACGCAAACATATGCCTCGATCCTCAGAGAAACGGAAGGCAGCAGTCGAGCAAGGCACTGAACCTGCACAGGGCCGCAGAGCCAGGTGGAAACTTCAGAGTTCCTGACTTGGCAGGGAGCAGGCAGCGTTTTCTTTGCCAGCCACCGGAGTCAGCAGCTTGTGAAGTCCCAGAGCTCGAAGAGACGGAAGGCGGATCTGGGCCCGGCAGGATGACCGTTAGCTTGTCAGATGGGCCCTCGGAGCTTCCAAAACAGCACTGTAGACACCATCACTCACTTCCTTCCCCGCTTGTTTAAAAATGAAAAGTGCAGCCGAGGACCACGCATCAAATCTAAAAATATCAACAGGAACTTTTCCACCGATGCTTCCTTTTGAGACATATAAATAACTTCAGAAAGCTCCTGCCCCTGTGGCTCTTGCTTCTAGCATCGCATACTTTTCCAGCAGTAGCACTGAGTCCTCCAGAGCCTATGGCCCTAAGGAGGTGGCAGGTGGGGCGAGGTGGCAGGTGGGGCGGGCTCAGGCCAGTTGGCCTTGGGGGTGTAGGGCTCAATGGAGGTCCCAGCTGGGTGTGAGACCCAACTCAGAGCAGTGCTGTGTTTTGTTTACTTATTGGGCAGTTCCTAGGTACTGCCAAATGGATTTGCAGCTGTCTACACAATCACCTACACTTCGACTCTTTCCAGGAGTTAAAATTACAAAAACGAAAATGAATGTTAAGTCATATTGAGGAAGGTTAGTAATAATAACAGGTTCTTTTGCTTTGAGTATATGTCCTTGGCAGTAGGTAAAAGAGTTTATCAACAGCAAATCTGAGGGGATTAGGTAATAAGTCAGAATTAGGAAGCTGGCATAGTTTAGTTTGGGTGCCTATATCATCATTAAATACACATCTCATGCGCTCTATCCCTTTGCTGTGCAATTCACGTGCTTTTCCGTCCTCAGCTTTCTTTACTCCAGCCTGAGGCTCCTGTCACTGGTGGAAGCTGGGGTGTGCTGGCTCTGGTCCCTCTTCCAAGCCACTTCCATATCCTCTGAGTAGAAGTAGCAGATGCAGAGAATATCATTCCCCATTGGGCTTGCCAGCCTCCCAAGGTGTCAGCTGGCTGCCTGAGTAATCTCTGTGTCATGGGGCCAATGAGGATTAAGGAGATAGGTGCATTTTCCTCTTTGTTGCCCCCAGATACGATCATTTTTGTTTAATTCAAATGAATGACTTTCCCCTCCCCACCTGGTAGATACCCAGGAGACGGTCCTGGCAGGGTTGAGGTATTGCCTCATTCCTAAGTGCCCCATCTCATGCCAGACAGGCAGCTTTATCTCAGCAGAGGATTAACTTCCCTGAAGTCCCAAGAAGCTGATCTGATGAGTTGATCAAGGCTCCTCCTCCTTCTGGGCTCCCTCCCCCAGCTCTGTCCCTACTGCCGTCCATAATCTAGCAACTTCTCTCTAAACTCTAAGCTAACCTTTTTCTCAGAAAAAAAAAACAAAAGCAACTCTTTATGACTCATATCATTTTAATGACACCGACAGATGGTGACATTTCATCAATAACCCTTCTGCTTATAACCTACGGATTAGCTCCTTTCTCCATCTGCCAAAGTCACCAGGCAGGCAGTGCCACTAGCAAATAGCAGAAAATAATTGTCTGTTTAGATGCATAAGCTCTAAACACACTACCGTCCAACGCAAACAGTTAGCTATATTGTGCGGCTTCCAAAAGCTGCATTTGAGATGGCTGTTGCTAAGGCAGAGATGGGCTAGGAGAAGAGATTGTGTCTCAGGCTGTGCAAACAGGAGGTTCCTTGGGGACTTCACAGCCTCTGGGGGTCAAGCTGTGCTGTAGGGAAGTGCAGGAGCCGGGAATCCTGGGGTGGGTTCCAGGGGTGCCCCAGGAGCAAAGCTGTCAGCTTACTTTAGGTGAAATTCTCTTTGTCTCCTTGCCAAGTAAAATCTCACTCTGGCTTGCAAGCTGGTTAGAGAAGTGGAAGGAAAAAAAAAAATATCATTTCCAGTGTGAGGCCTGCTTTGCCTTTGCCCAAACTGGAGATACCCAGAGGGAGAGGCCACTGAGATCAGGGCAGTGAGTTTTCAGGAGTTGTGGCATGCTGGCTTTGGCCTTGCCACAACCCACCCTTGCCTCCTCAAATTTCTGTGGGGTGTAGAAAACAAAACGACGTGAAATGATCCAGAAAGAATTCAAATGAATTTACATGTAAGGGTTGAAAATAGTTTGATATCTGCTGGGGTCTCTGTAGAAGCCCTAGAATTGTGCAAAACCCGGACCAGCCATCACTGCTTTAGGGCCTATAATCTTTGATATGGAAAATCTGAGAGGAAAACACACGACTGGAAGTTCTCACACGGTGGGTGGTGTGCTGGTCATCAGACCTTAAAGAAGTCATTGCAGCATGCTGACAAGAGTGGGTGGCAGAGAGTCAGAAAGTTCTGAGTTTCAGGTTTTGCCCAGGCTGCGATACCTTGGGCAGTCACCACCATCACCTGTGAAACTTCACTGGGTGCCTTTAGGTGCAAAGTAGTGCATTAAATTCTAGGGCTCTTGCCTTCAAGGGGTCTTGGATTTAAAAGGGGAGACAGAGCAGGTGATTCCAAAGAGTTTATTATTTATCCAGTTACATGGATGCTGGCAAGAGATTTCTGATGATGATTTCTGCTCTGTGATATCTATTCTGCTATTTATGGACTGAATTTTGTATTTCCCCCACAACCTCCCCAAATTCATATGTTGAAGCCCTAAGCCCCAAGTACCTCAGAATATGAATTTTTTGGGGATAGGACTTTTAAAGAGGTAGTTAAATTAAAATTGAGGCCATTAGCATAGGTCCTACTATTATATTATACCATCTGACTGGCATCCTTATACAAAGAGATTTGGACACACAGAGAGAGCAGGCATGCATGTGCACAGAGGAGAGGCCACATGAGGATGAAGATGCAGCCAGAAGGTGGCCGTCTGCAAGCCAGGGAGAGAGGCCTCAGGGGAAACCAACCCCGCAAAACCAACCCTGCTGACACCTTGAGCTTGGCCTTCTAGCCTCCACAACTATGAGAAAATAAATTTCAATAAAAAATAATACAAATAAAAAATATAGTACAACAATTATTTACGTAGCACTTAAATTGTATTAGGTGCTATAAGTAATCTAGAGAGGATGCACACAGGTTATATGAAGCTACCACGCCGTTTCATATCAGGGACTTGAGCATCCGCGGGTTTTGCTATCTAAGGGGGGTCCTGGAACCAATCACTGGTGAATACAGAGGGACGACTGTTCTGCCCTTCTGCTTTAATAAACAGAAAGCCCTTTACCTCAGCCTGGAATAAAGACTGTTTTACAGACTTGGCCTTGGCAGGTGTGGCCATGTGATTATGTTCTGGCCAATGGGATGTGTCAGAAGTACCTTCCACAACTTCCTGGATGTGTCTTTAAAGGGTGTGGGTGTGTCCTTCCTTCCTCCCTACCCCTTCCTGTGGGCTGGAATGGGACATTTTGGCCAGAGTATGAATGACCATCTTGTACCATGAGGTGGAGGAACAATATCTGAGTTCCTGCCGCCCATCCACGAGCCATTCTAACCCTGGACTACCTACACTGACTTGAGAGAGACAGAAAATTCCATCCTATGCAAGCCACTGTTATTTTGGGTGTTTGGTTACTCACAGTGGAGCCTTAACCTAACTGACCCAGTGTTCTTTTCATGAGGACTCAACGGGGAAATAGCTCTCCTATCTCAGCACAAGGAAAAGTCATGCTTCTGTGGAGAAACTTTAAAAAAAATTCTTAGAAATACTGTGACTCAGGCAATTGATACTATTCTTTCCTTGCTTTGTCCACTGGGGATTTCAGAGCCAAATTTGTAACCCCCATCCAGCAATCACAGAGCTGGAATCGGTGCTCACCTCACCCCAGTCTTACCATTGTCCTTTCTTTCTCATCCTTTGCTATATTTTCTCAACACTATTCATTTTACCTTTTTTCATCAGACTTATTTTTGCAAGTGGCCTTGAATCTCTGTAACACAAAGTGGGGCAGGCCTAAGTAAAAAACTAAAACTCCTCAGTGGTCTAAGCAATTTTGGCATAACTTTATCAGATTGAAAAGAAAGGGAGAGAGAATGAATATAAATGTTATTCTAAGTGACAACTGATGATAAATGGACAACCACCTTCTAGGACTCATTTATCAATACTGGAGGTTGATATCTGGAGGTTTGGCCATCAGAGCACCTATGGAGGATAGAGGAGAACAGTTCCAGGGGTCAGTTACCATCTACCGCAAGGTTTCTAGAGCAACCAATCTTGTTTTTAT